TCTTGCCAGAGAAGTAATGGACTTAAAATGTAGATAAAGAAATATTTGTGAACATGAATAATGTGGGAGTTTCCTTTGTTGAAATGTATATGTGTGTGTGAACATGCACATGTATGTGTGTGTATTTGTTCTAAGAGTTTTGCATTTAATTTTTCAATTGCTCAATGGGCAAAGGGAAATCTCTGTCCAAGTCTACCTAGCTACCTACCCATCCATCTATCTATCTGTATCTATCTATCTATCCATCTGTCTGTCTATCCATCCATCCATCCATCCATCCACCCACCCATCCATTTATCCATCCATCCATTTATCTATCTATCTATCTATCTATCTATCTATCTATCTATCTATCTATCTATCTATCTATCTATCTATCTATTATCCTCTAAGTTCTCTCCCCTCCTTTACCCCTAAACAGCTCTCCCATCTGGTTTCTGAAACTCTACCATTATATATTTGTTCCTTTGGGTCAATCTGTCTTCCTCTTTTAAAAAACTAATTCCCCTAAGAGGAGGGTAACCTGTGAAATCATTGACACTTTCTTCAAAGTTCAGTATCAATACCTCATTAATGGAGGTATTGGAATTGGATCTATGGTACAGACAACAAAACATCGATGACTTCTGGTCCTGTGGAATTCTTATCCATATTCTTCCATGATCCTTCCTCAGAGGCCCCAGTCAGTATGCTGGACATGTCCTCTCGGTCTTTCTACATTCAGGTGGTACAACATAGAACTCAGACTATCCTTCTATTATCCTGAACTAACACAACATGACCAGCATGGCTTCTTTTCCTCTGGGACATTCCCTATGCTTCTTTTTAAAAAGAAATACTTTATTCATGCTCCTTTTTCTTTCATTACTGTGACTTCACAGTTATTACTCCCTCATACAATATGCCCCTCCTTAAGAATCATCCCTTGTGACAAAAATATAGTTAAGCAAAAGTAACCAACACAATGACAATATCAGAAAAATATATACCTTATTCTATATCCATAATCCATCACCTTTCTGATGAAAGATGGGAATGCACCAACTCTGAAGTTTGGTAATGGTGTGGATCTGAATTCTGAATTCTGAAATCTTTTAATGATGTTTTCGTTTGAGCATTATGCTGTATCTTCACTGTGTGACACTGGAGCACAAAATCACTGGAAATATGCTGCAGTTTCCTTGACTCCACCATGTACCTCTCCACTGCTTTTTGGGATAGATGAAAATGTCTATTGTCCAGACTGTATGTGCTACTGTAGTTGGATGATCAGTCCATTGGGTTAGTGCATCAGTATGTATATTTGGGGCATTACTACAGATAGGCAGTTATTTGAACCTGAAACAGAATAATAATAAGAAAGTTAGACGGATTGGATATAGTGTCCCTGGAAGTCTTAATAAATGCTTGTTGAATGAATGAATGAATAAAAATGGGAAATGAAAAAAGGCAAAGGTACTAACTTTGATTATCACAACTTCCTGAAAAAGTTTAAAGCAACATAAAGCAGTCACCACAACAAGGAGTCCCAGAGAACTCTGAAATTGCCTTGTCCAACAAAAAAGCTCTTTTGGAAAACATTCTGGAGAATAGCAGAAGATTATGAGTTGCATACGCTCATAAAGCAATGAAAAGCCATGAAAGTGAAACTTAGTCCCATCAATGATGGAGAAATCACCATATTTGTACCCTACTATCTTGGTGCCTGGTTAAATATATAAAAAAGTTGAAATTGCACTTCAGAAAATAAAGTTGAAAAGATTAACTGGGCCAGATCAAGTGCACACAGAACAAATTCATGCTGGAAGTGATAGAACCTTGGCAGAATTGAGAAATTATTTTCTAAGATATCTCAGGGAGGAGAAGATACCAAAAGAATGGGAACAAAAAATTGTGGACATTATTATTTCTCAAAAAAAAAAAGGTGAATGAGAAAACATCAATAACTCCTGACCTGTATTCCTACTTTCTCATCTTTATAAAATGTTTATGAGAATGAGGACCATATATCAAAGTTATCCTTGGTGAAAGTATGAAAGAGGAATAGCCAGGCTTTCACAAATGATACTCTGCAGCAGACCACATGTTACAGTCACATAACTGACAGAAAGTGGCAAAAATATATAAGGTTCTGCTATGTCAATTGTTTGTTGGTTGCAATAAAAATTATTCTATACTAGAGCAAAATGTAGCCTTCCACAAACAATCTCTCATGTGTATATTATGGTCATAAAAGATTCCTTAATAAATGCCATTACAGAGATAACTTTGTTCCCTAACTCTCTCAAATGCCAAGAGAGGCATAACACAGGGAGATGTATACTCATCAAAGTTTCTCACCACTGTCATGGCCAATACTTGGCTCTAGAAGAGGGATTCCATGTGGACAGTGAATTCCTCCAGATGCTTCTGTTTGCAGATGATATCAAGCTTCAGAATATCATAGGGGCTTTCTCTATGAAATTCATGATTACTCAAAGGATATTAGCCTTAAACTAAATGGGTCTAGTGCTTAGCACACTCTCTGGCACATAGTAGGTACTTAATAAATACTTGCCGACAAAGCTTACTGAGTGAAAAATGAACAGAACAGAGCTATTAACAAGCTGTTTCTGACACAAAGACCAATCTTTAAAGAGCAAACAAACAGACTACATGTTCTATTGCCAATAGTATGTGATTGTGAATATTGGACCAGCATGATCGCCAAAGAATCAGAATTTCAGGTAACTCAAAGAGCTATATAGAGCTGTTTGGGGCATGCAAGTAGGTTGAAACCTATTTCCAAAGACAATCTTTCCTCAAGTGCCACGAGGGATATTATTGGAGAAATGTGTGATAAGACAAGGAGGTAGGATGGTCATGTGTGGTGTAAGCAAGATACAACAGATGAATAGTTGTTCTCCATTGTTACCCAAGAAATGTGAAAGAAAAATGTCAAGAGCAGGAGTTCCTAATATGAATGTCCATAAACTTGATTTTTGAAAATATTTTGATAACTATTTTTCCATAGAATTGGTTTCCTTGGTATTCCTATGCATTTTATTTTATGCATTTAAAATCTCATTCTGAGAAGGGATATGTTTTACTAGACAGCCCAAGAGTTCTATAATACAAAACAGGTTCAATTGTACAAGGTAAAAAAAAATTGTACAAGGTAAGAAGGCATAGAAGGTGAGAGACCTGCCCTGATAGAAGGAATACCTGGATTAATGATATCACAGATCCACTGAAATATGAAAGTGGTCTAGGAACACTGTAGAAATCATTGTGTACCTTTGATGAGGCACTAAGCACCGGATAACCAAGGAGGAAGCATATGGGTGGCAGTGTTATTTCATCAAAGCCAACACCTTTCAGGACCCGCTTCTGCAGTCTGTATTGGATGTTGCTTGGCACCTCACCTTGAGCAAATGAAAGATTCCTCTCAGTGCTCTTCCTCTAGCTCATTGATCTGTGTATTATATTCTGAAAGAAACTCTAAGAAAGAACAGGCAAAGCACTCTAGGATGGGGAGAAAATTCTGCCAGAGGAGTCTCATTTTCTTTTTGTTAATTTCTCCTGCCCAAACCTGCATTGTTTTGCTGGGGGCTTTCAATGCTCCTGAGAAAGCAGGACATTGAAGAAACAGGGTGGTGAGAAGAGATTCAGGACACAAGGGGAGGTATCTTCTGAGGAATGGTGGCCCATCAGTCCCTGGAACTGACAATCAAAGAAGACGTTTTAATCTCCACCAGGGACCTTGAAAGACAAACACCGTCTCTTCTCCCTCTAGGAAGGGTTAGGAACATCCTTGTCTGGCAGCAAGAGAAAGAGGACTATATCATCTTTTGAATTCTCAGACCCCGGACTCTGGGATTCAGGAGCCCCAACGCAAATTATTTTCTGAAAGATGATAGAATTTTGTGTGAGCCACATTGTAAGGTGGTGGAGTTGAGTACTACTGAATGTATACTTTTTAGCACTCACCCCCTCCCCATCCCCTACTTTTCATACTTCCAAGTCACTATATTTGCGATTTAAATAAAAATTAGTTCTGGTTTAAGGGCTTTTGTGCAGCATACTTCTAACTAGTGACCTTATCTTTCCTCAGCATTGTGTGGAGAAAAGGGTGGAGGCTGGAGATGTCTAGAGGGGAAGGAATAATCCCTTCTCAGTCTCTATCTCACTCCATTTTCTTTCCTAGATGGACTCAGCTGCGGTGTATATTGGTGTCTAATTCATGTGCTTCTTCCCCTTTGATCTGAAGTAATGCAGATACATGTAGCCTGACATTGTCGGAAATAAATATCTGTATGCCACTCTCTTATCCTTTCCCGGGTTCAAAAGGGGGAGTGTGGGAGCAAGGCAGTAAGGGGGTTAAGGATCAGGGCAGTCTGCTCGCTCCGTGGTCCAAGGCGTGTTGCCTCCTCTAGCAGGGGCGGCAGCAGGGGCGGCTGGTGAGACCGTGACCCCAGCCATCCACTGCTCCTTTCAGATGCATTAGGCAAAGCCTCCCTGCAGCACTGCATTGGCTTGTCGGTCCTGCATGACATCAGAGAGGATGGGAGAGAGCCGACAGGGCGCAGGCGCTGGAGGTGGGGAGGGGAGAAGCTCCAGCCCCCGGCTCGTCGAGATCACACTGCCTCAGCATCCCCATCCCTCCGCTCTGACCGTCGGCGCTCCGAAACCTCGCGCCCTCCCTTTCAGCTCTGCAGCCCGCGCGGGCGGCATCCTGAATCGTTCTCCGCATTCTCCTTCTCCTCCACCCCATCCTCCGCAGCTACCACCTCCTCCTCCTTCTCCTCCTCCTTCCAAAACGCAGCCCGAGTCAGGGGACCAGGGGGAAGCTGCAGAGCCAGGAACGCTTGCAGCCAGCCCTTCCCCCTTCCAGATCGTAGCCTCCCTCTCCTCCTCATCCTCCTCCTTTTCCTCCTCCTTCTCCTCCTCTTCCCTTTCCTCTTCTTTGCAGTCCTCCTCCTCTCCTTCCTCCTCTCGCTCCTGCTCCTTCTCCTCCTCTCCCCACACCCCAGAGCCAACACCATGTCCGCAGGAGGAGATTTTGGGAACCCATTGAGAAAATTCAAATTGGTCTTCCTGGGGGAGCAAAGCGGTGAGTACCTGGTTTATTCGCCAGGGTTGGAAGCTAAGTCTGGTGCACTTTGGATTCTCTCCCACTCCCTTCCATCCCTCAACCTCCCTGCAGTTGTAGTGCACACCTTGGGCTCCCCTCCACACACCTTACCCTGGCCCCCCTCTTCCCACACACAAAGGAAATAAAACGCTCAGAGTGGCCCCTGGGCAAGAGGATGGTCATGGAGGTGGGGGCAGACGGAGAGAGGGCAGGGAGGTAATGGGAGATGGCTTCAGCCGGGCGACTGATTGAGGCTAGAGGCTGGAAATGGACTCCGTATCTGCTGATCTCTTTGCATAGTGCGGCAGCTTGTGCAGCACTCTGGAATCGGCTCTTCTTGGACTGGGGAGGGAGTGGGCTGGGGCGGCCGAATCGCCTTTTATTTCTACACTAGGGCTTGGACTCCCCTGACTGCTTTTGGGATGCGGGGAAGGGGAGGGTGGGGGAGGGTGGAGTGTCAGAGACTAAAATGGTTGGTGATGTGCCCCGACGTGGAAAGGTGGGGAGTGTGCAATTAGCCACCGCTACCTCCTGTGCCCAGGCACCACCGGGATCTCAAGCGTGGCTGCTTCAAGGCATGGGAGAAAACTGCAGAAGGCAGAAGGAAAAGAATATTACCAACCACCCCCTCCCCAGTCCGAATTTGTTTCAGGGACAGAGAAGGGGCGAACCCACGAAACTTGCTAATCTTTCTGTTCTTCCAGGAAGATTGGAGAGACTGAGGTTTGAGGAAGTAGCTTCAATATTAATCTCTTGCCTTTCTCACCTCAAACTGGGCATAGAAGGTTCTGGTATTGGCCATCTCTTCTAGCCTTGTGTTTGTTTGCGGGGGGGGGGGTTTGAAGAGCAGGGGGTCCTTAAGTGATGACGCTGAGATTGATTGTTTCTTACCTCTCTGGCTTCTCACTTGAGGTGCCCTGAGGAAGGCTGGAGGAGGAGAGGGATTTTTTTTCGGGGGGGAGGCATCAGGTGGGGAGAGTCAGACTGCTCCCAGGAGATTTGTGCTGCTTTGGTTCTGCAAAGAAAGGAGAGAGGAGACACACCCTGGTCCTTCCACCAAGTGTGTGAGCATGTCATTCCTCCCTGCCACCTCTCATCATAAATAACAGGGAAAAAAACATCTCCGAGGGAGGGGTCAGGGAGGGAGAAGGAGAAGGAGAAGGAAGCAGCCAGCCCACCAGACCTGACTAGGGATGACTAGCTGAACCTGCTGCTTCTCTTGCCTGCTGGGTCACAGGAGGGGCTGCCCCGTCTTTGGCTCTTGGCCTATGAGAGCCAATTTTCTGTTGTAGGATGACAGGGGCAGTTTCAGGAGTCACAGGCCGGAGAAAGGGAGCAAGAGGTAGTGGGGGCAGGGGTGGGGAAGGGTTGTGTAGAAGGAGCACTGACCCAAGATTTAGGGGCCCTTGGGTGCTAGTCCTGGGTCCTACTAGCTGTGTGACCTTGGGTAACAACCCCTGGGCCTCTTTCCTCATCTGTAAATTTCAGGGTTAAGCTCTAGGTTTTCTTTCATCTCTGATCTTTGATGACCCTTATTGAGGGGCAGCTATGGGTAGTATGAGTGTTTAGTTTGGTTTTCGATTTGGTTCCTGACACCTGAGAAAGGAATGTGAAGGATCCAAAGTATTTGGGAACTGGATGCTAGGGTGTACCTGCATTTACACGGAACAGGCCACAGTCCTGGCCAAGATAGGGCCAATGGTCCCCTTTCAGGAAGAGCATCTGTGAACTATGTGAAAGGTGTGTCTCTCACCCCCGACCTCTCCCAGAACTCTATATCTTATCACCAGTATCACTCTTATCCTTATAGAGGGATTCAATTTTCTTCTTCATAGGTATATTGTTTGATATCTTGTGCCTGTGTGAGGGACCAAGCACACTGACAGCTCAGAGAGTGGGTGTGGCGGTCTGCGGCCTTAGGGCTGAGAGACTGCTATCCTCCCAGGCTTCTGGATGCATTTAAAAGTCTGAGCACAGGCAAGGTGCTGAAACTCAGGAGATGGCTTCAAATGGAATCGGTAGACTTGGGTGTTTTTTCCTTGGGCCTAACTTGACATTTCTAAGGGAGAGCTCATCTCCCCAAGGGACAGGAGCTCCGTGAGTGGAATTTTTCATCTTCCCCCAGATAACACTGAGTTGGGCTTTCTTATTCTCTCACTGGAAGTAAATGTACAGGTTCTCTCCAGCTTGAGAACTGCTTTATTCATCTGGGATCCCTGGTCTAAGCTGTCAGAGGAAGGGGAGTTTCCATCTGTATTAGACATGTATAAGGTAGGCAATGTGCTGCTTGAGGAAGAGTGCTATATTTGAAGTCAAAGAATGTGGGTTCAAATCCTTACTCGGCTACCTTTATGACCTTGGGCAAGTCACCCTTCCTGCACCTCAGTTTCTTTATCTATAAAATGTAGGAGTTAAACTAAGGAGCCTCTAAGGTTCCTTCCAGCTCTAACTATGGTCCTATGCCATATATTGCAGTATGGCACCAGAAATATCCTGAGAGGTAAGGTGTTTTAATCTGAATTTGAAAGAAAATCTTCATCTTATTTTGGCAATCCATAGCATGGGATGAAGCTTTGTAAACTGCTTAGATCACTGAATATTAAAGAGTTAAAAATGTTAGGTGGGTAAGGGCATTTAAAGAGTATTCAATCTAATTCCCTTATTTTGCAGATTGAGAAACTGAGGCCCAGAAAGGTGACTTGCCCCACGTCACAAGGTCAAGTGAACAGAGCCAGCACTAAAGTCCAGATCTCCCAATTGCCATTCAGATGACTCACTGGCTGGTACCAGATCCTGGGGCCTTTACATGACCTTGACTTGGGAAAAGGACAGAGCCCAAGAGATGCAGGAAAGATAAGGAAATCCATAAGTGAGAGATGGAAGACTAAGATAAAGAGAAATTAAGAGAAAACAGAGGCAGGAAAAAAAAAGATGAATGAACAGATAACTTTTTCAATTAAGAAAACTGTTTTAAAGGTAATACAATTTTTAAAGAATTCTCTGTGTATGGCATAACCCATTCACCAGGACAAGGTATAACCACTAGGTTTTAAGAAAATTGACTGAGTTAGCAAATAAAAAAATTTAGAAGATGATTATTTGCATTTCAAAAGCCTTCCTTCAGTATTGGGGTGCCTTGAAATAGTTTCCTTAGTCCTTTTACATGTTAATTACTTGGCTGAGAAATGGGGAATGAAGAGAACAGAAAACTAAAGACCTCTCAGAAATGTAAACAAAGAAATAGGGTGTTGGAGAAAGCACTGAACTGGAGCCCAGACCTGGAGGCTAGAAGGCTAGTTCTGGCTGTGCCACTAAATAGCTGTGTAACCTTGGGTAAGTTGCCCAGTCTCTCTGAGCCTTATAAATGAAGAGTTTCATTCCAATAATTCAGTTGAATTCAGAGTAAGCCTACTATGTACAAGATATTGTGCTAGGCATGGAGGTAAAAAGACATAACTTTCAAATAGTCCTTTCAAAGGAATGTGGGGTGTGTGTGTGTGTGTGTGTGTGTGTGTGTATTATGTATGTATGTGTAGTTATATGCACACATGTACATATACATACACATACATGTATATATGTATATGTATATATACATATATAAATGCAAAGAATATATAAAGTAATAGAAAAATAATTTCAAGAGGAAACAAGCACAAACTGGGAGTATCAGCAAAGGCCTCATCTAGGAAGGGTCACCTGAGTGGTGCTTGGAAGGAAACAAGAATTGCTTGAGTTAGAGATGAGGAAGGAGGGCATTCCAGATGTGGGATGCCATGTATGCAAGATCTCTAAGAACACTTCCAGCTCTTAAATTCTCTATTCTATCCCTATTCTAATTTTCCATAATAAAAATAATGGAATGTAGATTATATTGCATAGTGACCATCTTATACACATCAGAAGTGGCATGATAGGAAAAAGACTGTATTTATAGTCCTAGGACTCGGGTTTAAATCCCAGCTCTGTCACTTATTACCTATAATACCTTGAGTAAATCAGCCAGGTGGCAAAGGATAGAGAGCTAGCCCTGGAGTTCAGGACACCTGAGTTCAAGTGTGGCCTCAAATCTGGGCAAATTCCTTATTTTCTGTCTGCCTCAGTTTCCTCATATCTCAAGTGGGGAATAATTCCCATTATTTACTTTCCTACCTCCCAAGGTTGTTGTGAGAATCCAATGGGATATGTGCATTTAACACAGTGCCTGGCACATAGGTACTTAATAAGTGCTAATTTCTTCCCCTTTAACCTCTCAGGACCTCAGCTTCCTTATCTATAAGATGAGGTGGAATGGACTTGATGATCTCTAAGGTCCCTCTTGCTCTAAATCTATGATACCATAAACTCAGAAATAACCGTATCTGTCACTAGGAAATAGGATTCCATGGACAGAAAAATTATGTATCCATCATTTAGTGGAAAAGATACTTATTGTGCAAATTGATATCTGTGTGATCTTGACTTTTTTCTGGTTTTTTTTTTGTGTGGTGTGTGCAATCTGGTACTTTCCTATTTGTGAAGAGAATGGAGAAAAGGAATCATTCCATTTATCATAAGTTGATCTCATTTATGCATCTTGCCTTGTTCACAATGGGAGATCAATAAATGTTTGTTGAATCAAAGTGATGTTCATGATTGGTACTAAGGAAAGGGACAAGAAATCCACAGGTCATAAAATTTTCTATTTTGGCCAATTATTTTAAACTCCTTCTTATAGAAGGTGTAAGTTTTGAACCCTGGGTACCTGGGAGGAAGAGAAGCAATCAAGGAATTGGATAATCCAATTGGATTATCAAGCCAGAAATGATCAAGCTAATCAGATGTATTGAGTTAAGTCTTAAGAGTGGCTGGAAGGCTCAATCAGACAACAGCCATTTATGAATCACTGACCATGTACCAGGTTCTGTCCTAAGCACTGAGGATTCAAAGAAAAGTAGAAAAAAATTACTATTCTCAAGGTGCTTACAATCTAATGAGAGAGAGAGCAAGTAAACCTGATCTACAAATAAGATGTATGCATAATACCCTATTTCCTGTTTGTAGTGGGTTAGAGGACAAGGAGACTGAAGAAAGAGGAGACAGGATTCACCTCAGAGGTAGACCCCCAAAGAACCCTTCCTTCAGTGAGGGGCATGGTGATTATGTGATATTCAGAAGGAAAAAGGAAACAGCTAATGGTCCATTTGCCCCCCACACATTCAAGAATATCTTTGGCAGGGGCCAAGAGGTCCTGAGGACCTGAGTTCAAATCTAGCCTCAGACCAAACACTTGACACTTACTATCTGTGTGACCCTGGGCAAGTCACTTAAGCTCAATTGCCTTAAAAAAAATATCCTTGGCAAAAAGTGGTGTTTGGAAAGTAGTGAGACCAAAATGGCAGCATGAAGGCTTTGTTTTATTTGTCCTATAACCCAGTATGGTAATAAATAACTTGATTGCTCCATTATGGGAGAGGGATGAGACAGATACAGAGTCATGCAGATTATCTGCCAAAGGCCATGTTGTATTCCCAAAAGAAATCAGGCCACGAGAACTAAGGAAACGATCAGTCAATGAATGTGATGAATGACTTTGAAGAGAGGTATCAGATTAGCCACTCACATGGTGTTGTTGTTGAGTGGTTTTAGTCTTGTCAGATCCTTCATGCTGCCATTTTGGTCTCATCGCTTCCAAAAGACTTCTCACCAAGGATATTCTTGAATGTGTGGGGAGCAAAATTTGGGGTTTTCTTGGCAAAGATACTAGAGTGGTTTGACATTTCCTTCTCTGGCTCATTTTAAAGATGAGGAAACTGAGGCCAGTTAAGTGACTTGCCCAGCTAGGGATTTACACAGTTATTAAGGCCCAAAGTGAACTCAGGTCCTCCGGACTCCAGGGCTGGAGCTTTATCCACGGAGCCACCTAACTGCCATTTGCATGGTATCCACCTCCAAATAGGGAATGGTATTAGCTATTGTTGAACCATTCATTCAATCAATGTTTATTAAATGCCTGCTTCCTATATGCAATGAACTGCGCTGGGCAAATATCAATAAGATAGGATCCTGCCTTCGAGGGGCACACAATCTAGCAGTCACTGTCATTTGATAAGGAATGATATTTGCTTTGTAGTATCTACTGACTCAAAGGTTACTTTGTTTGTCTTTTCTCTCTTTGAGGTCAGAGTCATAAACCCTTTTGTAGCTCTTGAACATAGTGAATGTATTGGTTTGATTTTTGACAGTATTTGGAATTTGGTGTCTAACCATGTCTGGATAGGGGTTACATTCATGCAGGAAGGGAAGTCCTCCCAGAATTCCTAGTGTGATTCAAATCTCAGTTCACATGTTTCCTCCTACATGAGTAAGTCCTTTCCTGATCTCTCTCCCGTCAAATTACCACGTATTTATTTTGTATCTCTTTTTGTAGATAATTGTATGTATGTATATTGTCTCCTCCGATAAAGTATAAAGTCCCTGAGGTTCAGGAGAGTCTTATTTCTGTATCCCCAGCACCTCGCACAGTACTTGGCACACAACAAATGTCTAATCAAATTGACTGATTGATGAGGTGGTAATGAATTAATGGAAAGAGGCCAATTTTGGGACAAGAATGACCTCTTCTCCTGTTTGCTAATTTTTTAATTGAAATACACTTTATCTATAATATTTCAAAACATTTTTAAAAGGCAAACCATTTTCGTTTTCTTCCTGTTTAGTACCCATTTGATCTGAAAAGTCCCAAAACTTTTTTCTCTATTCCTCAGCTGCTCTATTAAGTGGAGAAAGATTTTATTTCTTTGTCCATTTGCTCCATAGAAGCAATGACAAACTTGAAGATCCCTAGGAGAAAGGAACTATGTATGATGAAGGTATTATTGTAAAGATGGTGTTGAAGGATGGAAGTCAGGCTTATCTTTGGCCTTGAGAGGTCACTCAGTCGGTCTCTGAGCCTTAAGGAATGGCTATGCCTAAACCATACTGATTAGCTCACAGAATTCCAGAGCTGGAAGGAATCTATGAGATAATCTTTTGTAGCCTAAAGATGATGACGGCTCTGCAAACTTTTAAGAACTTCCCAAGAAGGGGAGTCTTCCCTTTGAGAACCCATTCCACTGTACTTCAACCTCTTCCGTGATTGGGAAGTCCTATCATTAACCTAGCCCAAATTTGTCCTCTGCTTTTATTTATATCTCTTGTGTTTAGTCTTGGTGGAGGAGAAGAATTGGTTACCTCCAAAGATGGAGTCCTCACGCACGTGAAGACTCCTTCCATGTCTACTGTTACACTCTTTTAGGGAGCTGGGGATGAAGAGGAAGGCCTTAATTGACTGATACTTCTATGAATCTGTAATCCTACCTATGTGGGTGCTCCATCCATTAGTGTAGATCAGAAGTGTCAAACTTGCTGCTGGAACCAGATTAAAATGTATTTGGGAAATGTCTGACACAATTAAAAATACATCACAACACAGATAATGTTTAATTATGGTTTTCTAAGCCAATATGTCTACAGGGATCTGTTTTGATTTGAGTTTGACACCACTGGTATAGATCACAATTCATTCAAACCTTTTCATTGTATGTGATTCTTGTCCGTGTTCCCCCATAAATTCTCCTTAAAGAATCTAACAAGTGTGCTGGAGGCCTTTCTTGGGGTCTTTTAACATTCTCTGGGTACCAGGGCAACACTCTGGCCATCTGTTATCCCTTGATCTCAATACATGCCAGGCCCACTTCCTGTTGTCATTATACTTTTCCTGGATAATATATAGTATGTCAATTACTGTGCACAATTTGACATCAGCGATATTTTACAACCTAGTTACACCCAATGTAAGTATTTCCATTGGCCTTTGGGGCACCTGAAATTTTGATTCTTGATTCATCAGAGATAGTAGTGTTCCCAGATTCATAGTCATATAACATCAGCAGGAGAATATTGATGTTGGAAAAGTTGTTTTTATTTTGTTTTAAGGAAACAGTTTGGGATTGTTGAAAGTCCTGTACAATTTCCCAGATTAAACCCAGTCAGCTCTTTTCTTCCCAATCAGTTCTGGATTCAGATTGCAGTCTGTATGTAACATTTGTACGAGATATACATGCTGATGGACCAACTAAATTGTCTGTTCATCAAGCTGCATATCAGTCTTGATAAGAGGCATCTCTCACCCACTCAGTTTTTCTGATGTGGCTTGTTAGGTTGAACCCTTTTGGGTAGTTGTTGATCTCACTGACACATTGCAGAACAAAACAGGATGCTTTAAGTATTCTACTAAATGACAGTAAGTGGGTACTCAGTACAGTTTGGCTTCTCAGACTTTTCTCCCTATATCTGCCTAGTTAGGTTAAGACTCTGCCTGGAAAATGAGTATCACCAAGGAGGGCTAGATTCAACATGGCCTCTAAGCTACACAGGTTTGCTATGTGTTCCATATAGTGCTTCTTTGGTGCTTCTCTCTGACCTCAAAGAGAATAATCTTAACAGACCCTGGCCAAAAAAAAAAAAGTGTGAGCCAGGAAAAATTTGGGCCCTCTAACCAAATGCTTCTGCTCTGTTGCTCTTTTTGAGACCTTGATTGGTGTCTTCACTTCCCCACTTAGGGCACTCAGTACTTCTGCTATCCAACTCCCTGTCAAGATAGAAAAGGATTTTGTCTTACTTTTTGTATTGCAGTACTAATAAGTTTCAGTTGATTATGTAGTTTGGGGGGGGAGGGTAAGGGCAGGAAATCCTCCCTTTACCCTTGATATCTGATGGCATTGGGACTCAAGATAAGCCTGTTTTAGTGGAAAGATCATTGATAAAGAGCTTAGAGGGACTCCAGAAGCCCTCTCATCCAACTCCCTAATTTTCAAGATGAGAGAACTGAGACCTAGGGAAGTTGAGGAATAATAATTATCGGAGGGAAGATTTGAACCAAAGTCCTTTGGCCCTGGAGTCAGTCAACGATCTTTCCACTATACAACACCACTTTCTTAATTTAGAGTGTCTATGGAGGGCTCTGCCGTTTCAATCCACTTCCCTGAGGGGGTGGGGAGGAGGAGGAGGGGTACAGCTGGAAGAATGGGGCTGACTTAGCTTTGGTTGTTCTTGAGTTGTTTCAGTCGCATCCGACTCTCTGTGACCACATTTGGGTTTTTCTTGGCAAAGATACTGAGTGGTTTGCCATTTCCTTCTCCAGCTCATTTTACAGATGAGGAAACTGAGGTAAACAGGGTAAGTGACATGTCTGGGGTCATCCATCTAGTAAGTGTCTGAAGCCACATTTGAATTCAGAAACTTAGCTTTGTTCACTGGGGCCTTAATGTCCAGAGCTTCTTAATCTCAGGCTGTTTCCAAGCTATAGCTGGGTGGTCCAGAGCCCTCATCCCTGGAGCTTTGGGTAGAGAGAGCATGGAAGGATGTGTACAGAGAACACTGACTTTTGGGAAGTCAAAAAGAACTTTACATTCTAATGTGTATGTAATGAAAATGAAACTGTACTTGCTATTAGGGGAAACTGACATTATTGATACTGGAAAACAGACAAAGCAAGAAGAGGAAAACTTTAAAAATGTGGTTTGTCTGTGTAAGAGTAAAACTAATTATAGTCATATGGTGCCTATTTACATGAATTGCTTACCATTTAAGCCAAATTACTGCATAGCAAAATAACAATTATGTGTATAGTTAAATATGTCTAATAACTTTGCTGTAAGTTTTCTTTGGTTACATGAAAGTCACTTCATGCCTTATAGTTTTTTGCCAATAGAACTGGGGTTTTTACCCTAGGATCTATGAACTTTTTCTTTTCTTTTTCTTTTTTTTCTTTTAACATTTTGATAACCATATTTCAATATGTTTGAATATAATTGGTTCAATGTAATATATGCAGTAAAATTGCTTTCCTTTGCAGTCTTATGCATTTGATTTTAATGTTTTTAAAAATAATATTCCAGAAAGGGGTCTGTAGATTTCACAAAATGGTTCATCACAAAAAAAAATGTTAACAACTCCTACACTACTGTGTATTTATACTCCTTGAGGTCAAGGGCTTGTTCTGAACATCACTGTACCCTCTTAGCAGAACAGTGGGCACATAGTGGCAGTTAATAGATATTGAATGCATGGATAGGTGGATGGATGGATGGATGGATGGATGGATGGATGGATGGGTGGATGGAAGAACAAACATTTTTGTCTTCTCAGAAGTGAGTAAACACTAGACATTATGTTAAAGAAGGTGAAACAGTTAAATGTATAATAGCATGATTCACAAAAGGTAGGTGCTGACAAATATCAAAAATGAAAAGATCCGCATTATCCTTTCAGGTAGACTTCCACACAAACAGTTTCATTAAGTAATTCAACTTTTTAGGGTTTCAGGGAGAGGGGTGTGGCATGAAAGAGAAAACATTGTCCCATACTCAGCCTTTGGGGGCTCTGTTTAAATGAGTTTTTAAAAGTTAATTCCTCATTTGGGCTTGGTTTTTCTAACTCTATACCCTTTTATAGGAAGTAGTACTTTATAGAGTGCTAACATAGCCTATCCTGACACAGCTGCTGGCCGGTGGTCATTTGATTCAGATGAGGAATGACAATATTTGGGGACCTCAAAGGCAAAACCCCAAGTTTAAGAGAAGTGTTGGAAGTGGAGGAAAATCTGATTGGAAAAGGCCAATCTTAGGAGTGTCACATTGGTAACTATAAGGCATAGCAAGTCATGATTTTTTTTTTCCTTTCTGTTCAGGGCCTTGGAAGGGAGAAGAGGCAGGAGGGCCGAATCAGTGTTTAGGGAATGCTTTTTCTGGGATTAGCTGAAAGTAATCAAAGGCAAGGCCCTCTTATTAGGGCTGAAAGAAAGGCTATAGGGAAATTTTAACTCTGTTTCTAGAGGCTTTTGAGACCTCAAATGCCACAGAAGAGAGGCTTCTGTTTAAAGCAGTATAGGGAAAGAGAATTTAGATTCATAACTGTTAAGGAGCATCTACATACCTAATTGCACCTCTTTGTGTTTGTATTTCTGCTCTTAATATTTCCAGATTGCTTTTAGAATTTCCTCTGAATTGTGTATCACCTTTTAAAATGTAAGAATTTGTGATTAGTCAATATTGATGTCATAGTGTCTTAATTAAAAGTTCCTTTTATGTTAAAAAAAATGTAATCGAGTTGGAGAGAATGTTAATCTATATTTTTTCAATTAACCATGTTGATGGATGCTTAGCTCTTTGGACCATGAGACTGGGTAATGAACGCACTGCTATCCATCTGGAGGTAGCTTATCCAAATTATCAGCACAGTACCTAGGAGGAAATAAACAGAAAGCTAAACCTGTAAAGTCAAGCCAAATGCCATATGTGGAGAGGCAGTGGGTTTGTGGAACCTAAGGATCCTGAGATATAATCATGATTTTCCCTGGAAAATGATGTTTCTTTAGGAGGGGAAAAATTATCATTTTTTTATTTATAAAATTTGGATTAGAGAGATATGCCTTTAGTATAGTAAGTTTGGAGTGGGGCTACAGTTCGGTTTTGGGAACTACACGAGATAGTAATGGCTAGGATTCGTTTTTTAATGTGTAATTTAAAAAAAGTTTTAAACTTAAATAACAGGCTTGAACATTCCTTATACGTAAAAAAAGATTGTATGTGAAGTCCTAAGTCTCTACAATGTTCAGCCTATTTTTAAAAATACATATTAAATTTAACTCGGTAGTAACAATACTGCCCTGCTTGTCTGTGTCCCCTTTTGAACTTATTTCTCTTCTTTTCTGTGTGTTTTTTCAGTGTTTCATTGTGATCCTTTTCTTTCTATGACTACTTCAACTACTCCACTCCCTGCCTAAAAGGGATACAGTGAGGTTAGCACAATGGCAGTGTTTATTTCCAAGAACAGAAGTACTGATTGAAAAAAATGTAAGAGAAGGGAACCATCTCACAAAGGAAAGGAAGTAGAAGGCCTATGGGTAATAGTTTCACTCTGTACTACATAGCCACTATCAGAATACTGGAACATCCTGGGAAACAGAAGGTACTGTCTCCAGAAGGATTTGACCCTTGGAAAGGCTATTGGTTGTTGCTGAGTCTTCAATTGTGTCCAACTCTTCATGAGCCTATGGACCATGACTGTCTGTAGGGTTTTCTTGGCCAAGATACTAGAGTGGTTTGCCATTTCTTTCTCCAGTGGATTAAGGCAAACAGGTTAAGTGACTTACCCAGATCACACAGCAAGTGTCTGAGGCTGGATTTGAACTCAGATCTTCCTGACTCCAGGCTGAACACTCTATCCACTGAGCCACCTAGCTGCCTCCAACCCCATTTAAGGTTTTCTTAGCAAAGATACTGGAGTGTTTTGCCATTTCTTTCTCCAGTTCTTTGTACAGATGACGGGACCTAAGAAAAACAGGGTTAAGTGACTTGCCCAGGTCACACAGCTAGTAAGAGTTGGAGGCTGGATTTGAACACAGGAAGCATCTTCCTGAATTCAGACCCACCGCTCCACCCACTGCACCCCCTAACTTCCCTCTTTGAAGGTAAGGGCTATTTTTTACTTTTGTCTCTGTATTGCCAGCACAGTGCCTTACACCTGGTAGTAGGGGCTTTTAAAATATTTGTTGAATTTAATCGAATGGTTAACCAAGTAATCAGCCTGGAGTCCAGTAAACATAGACCAGGGGTCTGCAAGGGATTGACTTTGATATCAGGATGAGTTCATATTGGAGCTTGCAAGGCTGGGTCATGGGTTTATTTATTTATTGTTCTGACTTCTGGGGTCTTCTCCTTTGCATGCCTGCCTACACAGGTCTGTGGGTCCTCAAGTGTCCCAGGTATTATCTCGACTACCTAAGTAGACAAGTTATCTGCTAAAGTTCATGCCCTCACTCAGAACCATTTTTCTTTCACTTTACACATAATTCTAACAAACACAGTTATCTGTCTTTCAAATTCCTAAGGGATTAGAGGGGCAGCTAGGTGGTGCAATGGATGGAGCCCTGGGCCTGGAATCAGAAAGATTGGAATTCAAATGTGGTCTCAGACATTTACTGGCTGTGTGACCCTGGGCAAGTCACTTAATCCTGTTTGCCTTAGTTTCCTCATCTGTAAAATGAGCTAGAGAAGGAATGGCAAACCACTCCAATATCTTTGCTAAGAAAACCCCAAATGAGGTCATGAAGAGAACAACAACAAAAGTTAAAAAAGAGTGGGGGAAGGTTGTTGCTCCAAGTCGGCACAGTGGCATTCTCACAACAAGGAAGGACACAAAAACAAACAAACAAACAAACAAAAAAAGGTCAGGAACAAAAACCCAATAGTGGTCTGGAGATATTTAGGGTAGGAAATTTCCAGACAAATTACTTCTCTGGGCTTCAGTCTCCACATCTATGAAAGACATTGGACTAGGTATTCTGTAAGAGGTTCTCCAGGCTGACAGTCAGTGATTCAGTAACGCTATGATTCTGAGCTCCACTTATCTCATTAAACTCCAAAGAGCATCACTGAATTATGCTTTGGGATATCAAGGCTGGTTAATAATAAATAATGATTTGCAATATAATTATATATAATAGAATATGTGTACATATAACATAATAAAATTGTGATTTTATATATAACATATAATAAAAACATGATATAATTATTTACAAAGTATGATATATGTTATATACATGTAGACTATAATTAATATTAATCACTGTAATATAATTATATACAACACAAAATATAAGTACACATAGCATATAATAAAATTATAATTATATATAGTATATAATAAAAACAATATAATTATTTGTAAAGTATGATATATTTTATATACATGTAGACTATAATTACATCTAATATTATATTATACGTGGGATATAATAAAATGAGTCATACCTTATAATATATGCCTATGTTATATAATAGAATCACAATATAATTATATCATGTATAGTTTATTTTATATGCATCTAGTATCTAAAAACTTTTAAATAATTATACGATGTATAATATACTCTAGAATATAATAGAACTGCAAATATTCATATATGATATACTTATATATAGTACATAATAAAATATATAACAAGTAATATATGGGAATATAGTATGCAATAAAATAATAATATAATTATGTATAATGTACAATATTATATATAGGCTATATACATACAACTTATAATAAAATTATATATAATGTGTACTATATCACATATGACATATGATAAAATTACATGTTATGTTATATATGTATATTGTATATAATAAAATCATGATATAACTATATATAATATACAATATTCTGTTTAAGCTATATACATATAGCCTCTAATAAAATTATAGAGGATTATATATAATGTATACGATATTATCTATGGTATGTAATAAAATTACAAATAACACGTTGTTGTTTTTTAGTCATGTCCAACTCTTTGTGACCCTGTTTGGGGTTTTCTGGGCAGAGATACTGGAGTGGTTTGTGATTTTCTTCTCCAGCTCATTTTACACATGAGGAAACTGAGGCAAACAGGGTAAAGTGACTTGTCCAGGGTCACATAATTAGTGTCTGAGGAGGGATTTGAACTCAGAAAGATGAGTCTTCCTCACTTAAGGCCCAGTACGCCATCCACTGTACCACCTAGCTGCCTATATAATATGTAATATATTAGATATGCATATGGCATACAATAAAATCACAATATAATTTTACATAAAATGTATAATACATTCTACAAACATATAATCCATAATAAAATCATAATTACATATAATGTATACTGTATTACCATATAAGAAAAATATGTAATATTTAAAATGACATACATATAGTATATAATATAATCATAATATAATTGTATGTAATATGTACCATATTATATATACATATGGCCTATGATAAAATTATAAACAATTGTACATGATGGATAACATTATATATAATAAATTTATATATAAGATGTAATATATTATATAGGGGTAGCTAGGTAGACCAGTGGATAGATTTCTGGGCCTCAGACACTAGCTATGTGGTACTGGGCAAGTCACTTAACCCTGTTTTGCCTCAGTTTCCTCATCTATAAAATGAGCTGGCCAAGGAAATTGCAAACTACACCATTATCTTTGCCAAGAAAACCCCAAAAAGGGTCACAAAGAATTGGACACTACTAAAAACGATTAAACAACAATACATTATATATGCACATAGTACATGATAAAATTATACTACAATTATATATAATGTATAATATATAAATATGGCATATATAAAATTACATGTTATTATAGAAAATAATAGTACTAATAAATTATAAATTACAAATCCATCAGGAAAAGGATTATGCTCTGTTTCAGGAGGGTTGGTGTACTTTAGAAAGATCTCCCTTCACAAATTATTAAACTTTTTTTTAAAAATAGCTAGCAGCTAATATTTGTGTACCATTGTAATGCTTTACATACATTCTATCCTCTGAACCTCATAGCAGGTGTTATTATTATTTTCCAGAGGAGGAAACTGGGGGTCAGAGATTTTAAATGAGTTGCCAGGGGTCACACAGCTTAAATTGTCAGTTTTTCATAGGAAACTCTAGGCTATCCTGAATGACTTAAGAGATTTCAGCGAGCTCAGATTTTTTTAAAAAACCTCTTTCAATTAAGGAAAAAATGGCCACAGTGTGAAAAAAAAAACCAACTGATTTGGGGTGGAGGTGGGAGGGGGCAACATCAGGTGATGTTTCCTGGGCTGTTTAAAACATGGTGATTAAAAAGGTTTCTGACCATTCCCAGAGGAGCACAAAACCCTGCTGCCTCCATCCATAGAGGCCAAGGCCCAATTTGTGCTAAGATGGATGGAAATGTTAAGTCTGTGGGCAGAGGTTGCTAAAGTGGATGGAGAATAGAGTGTCCTTGACTTAATTGGGCCAGATCCATTTTCTCCCACACAGCTCCAAAGGAAACTCACTTACAGGTCAGAGATAAAGCCTACAGCAATAGCCTTAGCAGCAGAGGCAGCTGAGGCTTTGTGCACAGGGTGGAATCTGGCCTTAGAGCTTCCCGGTGGGGGGGGTGCGGCACAGAAAAGGAAACTGTAAGGCAAGGAAGAGTGTATTTCAGATAAGGGAGGGCCTTCTGTGTGATCAGAGAAAGTTCAAGAAATCCTTAAGATAACCACTCCTCACTAGCAGATTAAGAAAAGAATTGTAGCATCCTCAGCCATGTCTGTCCATCCTGAGATATCAGAAATCCTTCAGAGTGCCTGTGATGGGAAAGAATTTCTGTAGTTTTGTCATTAATAACCTGGCAAGAATCAACCACAAGTAGGAAGAGCCTATACAGTCCTGAAGGGAGTTTTACTTGTGGGATCCAGTATTCCTGGTTCTCTCAGATCTGCCTGAATTGAGGACATAACAGGTACAGCAGAAAGACTGTTGGATTCGGAGTCAAAGGACCTGCATTTGAATCCCAGACCTTTTACATGTTCCTGTGTAGTCTTGGGTAAATCCCTGGGAAAATGAGTTTAGGCTAGAACAATTTCTAAGATCTCTTCCAGCTCTAAATCTGTGGTCTTATGGTCCTATGAACTACTGCTTTCATACCAGGGACAGTGAACTACATGATCTGAGAACTAAGGATTCTAAGAAGTGCCCATCACTTTAGGTGTGCAGGAGAGGTTAGAAGTCCAAACATGAAGTAGGCCTGTTAGAGCCCCAAGCAGTGCCTGCTCCCATAACAATCAGGACAGAGGTTACAATAACAATACCTTTCATTCCTATAGCATGTCAGAGTATTCAAAATAATTTGATGGACATTCAGCAATTCCTCAGAGAAATGCCTTGAGGTAGGAAGCTTCTCTGGGGTATTTGTCTTACAGGATTTTTGTGGAGCTCAAAGGAGATAATGTAAGATAAGTGCTCTGCAAACTTGAAAGCATTATATAAATGTCATTATTATTGTTGTTGTTATTCCCACTTTAGAGGTTATTAAATCCACAGCCACAGAAGTCAATAAGCCAATAATTTATTGGCTATTATACATACCCCCTCCCATACCCTCTCTGGTACAGTCCCGGTTTCCCTCAAGGCTCAACTCAAGCATCACCTTCTACAAGAGGCCTTTTTGAGTCCTCCAGCTGCACTAGCCTTCCCTTTAAAATGATCTATATTGATTTTGTCTGCCTTCCACGTCTTCCATAAATGATTCTCCCTGTTACTGAGGATCTAAACCCCTTCTTGTTATACGGGTTCTTATCTTTCAGAGGTAAAATCTAGATCTGGGTGACTGAAGATGGTTGCAGATGCAGTGGGAGACCTTGGCCTTTTTAAGCTAAGGTAGGAGTGGGAAAGCTGAGGCCTGCAGGCTACATGTGGCCTTCTAGGTCCTTGGGTTCAGCCTTTTGACTAAATCCAAGTTTTACAGAATAAATCCTTTTATTAAGGGGATTTGTTCTGTGAAGTTTGGATTTAGTCAGAGGGCCACACTTGAGGACCTAGAGGGCTACATGTAGCCTGGAGGCCACAGGTTCCCACCCCTGAGCTAAGATCTTTAACAGGTTTAAGTTTGACTGAATCAGCACCCGTGGATTATAGGTATATATAACAATGCCGGGCCAGAATAATGTTTTGAAATAGTTGAAGGAAATGCTACGTTTCAGTCAGCAGTTAGTGAAAATAATGTATTTTCCCCCATCTAAGTTCATAGAACACCAGGAATCTATCCAAGGACCCAGGTTAGGAACCTCTATCCTTGAGGTATCCTCACTTGAGAAAAAGGAAATGTCAGAGTCCTCATTTTTCAGCCAAGCCAGTTTGATAAGAGAGAAATCAACATTTGAAACAACTCCTCTGGTGGGGAGGAAAAGGTCCCCAGATGTCTTAAGGGAGAACAGCAGCAACACATTCACCTGGTAACCCCCCCCCCCAAGTCTGCCATCCCACATACACACATGCCCATCCCTTTTATGTTTACTTATCTTAGCTGATGGTGTGCCCTATCCTTGAAACAAATTTGAAAAAAATAAGCAAAACAAAGTGCCACATTAGCTGGGTCAGAAAAGATGTATCTTAATCTATATCCTGAGTCTATCACCTCTCTGTCAGGAGATAGGTAGATTGCTTTATCATTGGTCCTATGTCTTTGTGATTGTTCATTGCATTGATCAGAGTTCCTAAGTCTCTCAAAAAATTTTTTTCACAATGTTGTTATTGTATAAATTGTGTTCCTGGCTCTGTTCACTCCATTCTACATTACTTCCTGCAAATCTTCCCAGGTTTTTCTGAAATCATCCCCTTCATCATTTCTTACAGCACAGTGGAATTCTAGCACATCTATATACCATAACTTGTTTGGCCATTCCCCAAGTGATGGGCACCCTCTTTGCTACCTACCCTTTTTAAAGCCCAATACATTCTGTTCCTTGTTTTTGCCAGTTGCTAAGGACCTTACCTCTTACCTTCCCCTGCAAACATAGCATTTGACACATTTTCATGCATTATTTTGAACTATATTAATTTGTATATGGGCCACACACCCCTTCTGGATCATGAGATCCATGAGGGAGAGCAAGGATTGTGGCTTATGTGAGCTTCACATCTTCCCTAGCACCTCGTCAACCACAGACATTTATATAACAGTATTCTACACACAGTAGGTACTTAATAAATGTTTGTTTAGTGAATTTGAATTGAGCTAACAAAAGCTGCCTTTATCTATACTGCTGGACATTGCTTTCCCTACCTCTACCCTGATGACCTTCACTTCTTCAAGGGGCATATTCTCTGTGTGTGTGTGTGTGTCTCTCTCTCCCTGTCTCTGTCTCTCTGTCTGTCTCTGTCTATCTCTCTCTCTGTCTCTCTGTCTGTCTGTCTGTCTCTCTCTTTCCCTCCCTCCCTGTCTATTACTGTCTGTCTTTCTCATGAACACAAACACAACTCTTCCCCTTCCCCCACACCTTTTTTTTTCACCCACAATTCCCAGGAAAGGCTGGAGGATGCTCTGGTGCCCTGTGACTGTGCCACTACACACCTGGGGCCCAGTGTCAAGGTCCCAGTTGCTCTTACTGGTCCCTCCCCCAGCTGACATACTTGCAGCTGGTTGCTAGGCAACAGTGACAGCCCTGTTCTACATGTATAATACATAACTGCCATTAGGTTTTTACTTTCCCAACAAAAAGGGCCCTTGGAAAAAAAAAAAGTAAGCCCAGGTGACCAATGTCAATCTTCCCCATCTCTTTATACCCCCCACAAAAGGACTGTCCCTATGCAGCTGAACTCAGAGGTGGGTCCATTCACTTGGACAGGAGTGGTTCTCAAGTATATTTACTGCTGGCCCCAGTGGGCACTTACCAGCACTCACATTTTGCAATCAGATGGTCAGTGGAGGCCACAATGGAGAGAGAGAAATCCAAAAGAAAAGTAGACAGTCTCAACAATTTGGTGAGGATGCTGGAGACCTGAGTAGTAGAATAGTGTCCTGCAAAGAGAACTGGATTGGAAATTGAGTGATCTGGCACAGGATAGCTGTATGACTGTGATTAAGTCACTTACCCTTCCTTGGACCTCATCTGTGGAATGGGCAGGATTCATATTTGCAAGACCTAACTCACAGGCTCACAGATTTAGAACTGAGAGGGGCCTTGGACATCATCTGGTCAAATACCTTCATTTTCTAGATGAGGCAGCGGAGGCGCACAGACTTCCCCAGGTTCACACAGGTAGGAGGCAAGCAGGAGAGTGAGGATTCTGCTGGTGTCAGATCCAGCATGATTTCTCCTGTACCCATCTGGATTCCATACCTACCTCACAGGGGTGATGTGAGTAAAGCACTTTGAACAGCAACTGACACTGATATAGTCCTTTAAGATGAGCAAAGAGTACTTTGCATACATTGTCTCATTTGAATTTCACAACAACCCTAAGAAATAGGAAGTACAGATATTATCCTTCTCATTGGATAGATGAAGAAACAGAGGTTCAGAGAAGTCCAAGGACTTGCCCATAATTAGCAAGTATCAGAGACAGACTTTAAACCTAAGGTGTTCCTGACTCCAATTCTAGCATTTTTGTCCACTGAAGCACACTGCCTCCATTGTTCTTTATGTGTGAGCAATTAGTTTTTTTCTCCATCTAGTACTGATTTACTGTGAGGCCCCTAGGCAGGGTAACTTGCCATTCCACATATTAACGTATATCCTTAGGCTCTAAAATCCTTTCCTACTCTAAACCCTATGATCTTGCCGAGATGATGGAAGTGTATGTGTTCCCACCTCTACAACCTTGGGGATGGAAGGGGGAGGGGGGAGTCATTGACCAGAAATGACAAGCTTTGGTTAGGAAAAGGGGCCGAAAGAAACCTCTAAGAAGCCTGGGCATGATATCAGTCAGCTCAGTTGCTTGGAGCAAGGGGCTTGGGGGGATGTTGGAAATCTAGTTAGCCGTGTCTTAATGACCCCATTTGGGGTTTTATTGGCAAAGATACCAGAGTGTTTTGCCATTTCCTTCTCCAGCTCATTTTACAGATGAGGAAACTGAGTCAAGCAGGGTGAAGTGACTTGCCCAGGGTCACACAGCTAGAAAGTGTCTGTGGCTAGATTTGAACTCAGGAAGAGGAGTCTTCCCGACTCCAGCCTGGAACTCTATCCACTGTGCTACGTTTCTAACCTGAGCTGGTTTATCTCTCCTTAGGCAGCCTGGTTCCCCCCTCCCCCCTTATTCTCAGGGCTCACCATTTTGGTGCCAGGCTTCGTATGGAGCCCCAGTTGCTTCAGCCCTCCTATAGCTCAGCTGGCCTCAGCCTCCCAATAGCAGGGTGTAATCCCCAGTGGCACAACTCCCAGCTAGTTGTCTTACAAACAGCATCTTCATCCACAGCAACCAATGTTACTGGCCTCCCTTACTGAGTCTGCAGGCTCCCCCAAGCTGAACTCCTGTCAATAGTACCCCACACCCTGAATACAGACCACATACTCACCTGGCCCTACAACTCACTACCCAGATTCTATGGCATCCCTTCTCAGCCCGCATTCCCACCTGGTTCTGAGCCCCTGGGAAGCACAAGGACAGGCCTGGGCTCACTGAATGAAGGCTGCTTGTCTTACCGATCCTTCCAAAAGACTGCCTTAGGAGCTACCCAAGCACAGCTCATTGGCCCTGTGAGGCAGGCGAGCCTCCACAGGGGAGCTCGCTTGGTTTTTAATTAGACATTAGTGTTCTCCACACTTCCATTTCCTGTCAGGGCCTCCGTGGTTGGTTCTGTCAGCTTGTTCTTCATTGTTCAATTCTCCCCCTTTGGATTTGCAATCCTGTGGCTCCTTGGCCCACTCCCCTCCTCATCTTCCTCTCCCTTTCCTATTAGCATCCCCCTCCTTCCTGTCCCCTACTGCAACTATCTCTACCCCCACCCCTAAACACACGAAGGATTTTGATTCTGTCTCCCTCATACGTGGCCTTTATTCCATCCTCACCGATGCAGGCTGGTGCCTCCTAAGATCATAGCCAAGGTTTGTGGAGGTAAGGCAATCCTACAGACTGAGTAAGAAAATCTCCCAGCTCCAAAGAGATTTTACCAGCCTAAGGAAGGGACCTTAGTCAATGCCGCCCCTCCCAGGGTCCCATCAGGGATGCTTTTGATGACAAAGAGCATCATCCTGAGCACAGCACCTGTGGGAAGGACTACAATAGCCCAGAGAATAATTTCCCTTCTAGGGATCACTTCTCTTAGAAGTTGATAATAATGGATTGAGTCTGGAAGATCTGAATTCAAATCTGGCCTTAGACTTTCACTTGTTCAGACATTTACTAGCTGTATGCTCCTGGGCAAGTTACTTTCCCTATTTGCTCCAGTTTCCTCATCTGAAAAAGGAGGATAATACCTCCCAGGATTGTTGTGAGAATTAGAAAAGATAACAATTGTAAAGTGCTTAGCACAGTGCTTGGCTCAGAATAAGTACTATTAGATGTTGTTGTTATTATTATTATTATTATTGAAGAGCTTGTGAAGAGAGCTAAACTCATTTATCTCTGAAGATAAATGTTTGTTTATTTTGCTTTATTTTCCCCCAAAAAGTTTGTTTTTGCATTATCCTCATCAAAATCCAGCTAAATTTTTTTTTAAAAAAAGCACAAAAACAACTGCATTTAATTTGGCAGGGGTGGGGAGGTGGGGGGTGGGAGTCTGGAACAAAAGGTAAGGAATAATGAAATAAATGTTAGATTTATAAAACTTTCAAACATTGTGGAACAGTGTAGTCCTTATCTCCCAGCTGAGATAAAACAATCTGACATCTTTTGAATATCAAAGGGACTGGCTGGAGCATCGGAGGAGATTGACCCAGTCCTTTGAGGTTTTGAAGGAAATTTCCAATGTCTAATTCTTTCCTTTTTAAGTCTGGAAAACCTTCAGAAATCCATGGGAAAATAAACCTTTATTTCTAAAGTAAAATTTGAAGTTTAAGAGTGAAAGCAGAAATTGTTTGTGAGTTAATAAGGGACTTGGCGTAAGGGAGAGACAGTTAGCATTTCAAGTTCCCAGTTGCAAGAGAGCTGATAACTGACTGGTGTCCATAGGTCCCAGTAAATATGTGAATAGAGTAAGCTAGCTTCCCCAGGTGTGTCTGTCACACCCTCTCTGAGTCTCTTGGGGCTGTGGGTGCTGGAGGGTCTCTCTGCCTATCTGTCTCTCCCTCTTTTCCTTCCTCCCTCTTTAAATGCAAAGAAGCATGGTAGTATGTTTCCACTCTTTCTGGTGCAAAGAGCACCAGACACTGAAGTCAAGAGAGTCTTCAACTGAATCCTGCTGTTGATACTTATTAATTATGTCACCACTGGTTACCCTCCTCTCTGAACCTCAACTTTTTCAGCTGTACAATGGGGATAATAGAGCCTTTTAGGACTAACCTCACAGGGTATGTTGTGAGGACCAAGTCAGCCAACAACCATTTATCAAGGACATATTATATGTCTAGCATTGTGCTCAGCATTGTGAATACAAATGGTAAAATGAGACTGCTCTTGCCCTCAAGGAGCTTACTTTTAGGGGGATAGGGAGGAAGATATACTGACAGCTGGCCAGGTGGAAGACCCAACATGTTTACAGGTAAGTAAAATATATCACAGGACAGCTAGGTGGAGTAGTGGGTAGAGTGTAGGGCCTGAAGTCAGGAAGACTCATCTTCCTGAGTTCAAATCCAACCTCAGATATTTACTAGCTGTGTGACCCTGACCAAGTCACTTCACCCTGTTTGCCTCAGCTTCCACATCTGTAAAAATGAGCTGGAGAAGGAAACAGGAAAGCACCCCAGTATCTTTGCCAAAAGAACCCCAAATGGGGTCATGAAGAGTTGGACATAAATGAATGACAAAGCCTATATACAAAATAATAGGTATAGGAACTGGACCAGTGAGTTCATTGGTATAGGGAACTTCTGGGTAAGGAAATTCCTTCTGCCAATGTAGGCTGGCACTTTATCTGCAGCTTATAATCTTAGAACTGGCTGGAGCCCTGAGAGTTTTAGGGTCACATGGATGGGAGGTGTCCAAAACAGGACTTGAACTCAGGAACTCAGGTCTTCTAGCTTTCTGTCCACTGTTACACATAATTTTGGAGGAAGGCACTGATAACTCACTTTGTTTTCTTTGAGGACCGATGACATTGGACAGGTGGTATCTTGACTTGCAAGTGAATCTGATTCACAAATAACTGAGATAATCAGGAGAGGCTTCTTGTAGGGGGTGCCTCAGGAGATAAGCCTTGAAAGGGGTTAGGGGTTCCAGGAGGCCAAGGTGAGGAAGGAAAGCATTGCATGCATGCTGGCCCCCCAACCCTCCCAATGGGGAGTAGCTTATATAAAAGCATAGCAGGAATGAAACGCACAGGATTATTAGACCTCAAACTGTATTAGAAACCAGTATAACCAACCCAGGTCTTTCCTCTCCTTTGACCAGACTGAATTTAATCCTGGGTACTGACCCCTCTGCCTTCTTCCCCCACCAAAAAAAGAAAAGAAAAGAAAAGAAAAGTAATTGCTTTTTTTTTTTTTTTTTGCTCATTGTCCTCTCCTTGGAGATACA